ACTTTAGGCGCGTTCTTTAATAATTTTACCTTCCTAAACTCGGGTGTGCATTTCATGCGACCCAAATCCAAATCCCAAAACGTTGAATAAAATATATCGAGGATTCGAGTGCATTTCATGTGACGTGATCCAAAAGCATGTTTTAAACGGCGTTCAATTTCCTAAAAAATTTATTATTAATTAAAAACGGTAAATAATTCTAAAAATTGCACTATAGGATGGTATGTATTAAAATCAGATTTTTAGCCAATTATAATAGTTTAAGCGACCGTGCTAGAACCACGGGATCCGGGGGTGCCTAACACCTTCACTCGGGTCAACAGAATTCCTTATTCAGAATTTCTGGTTCGCAGACTCCACTCGGGAAGTCGAAATTTCCTCGATTTGGGATTAAAGATAAATCGGTGACTTGGGACACCAAAAGCCAAACCTATCCCAAGTGGCGACTCTAAATAAATAAATAATCTCATTTCGAATAATGTCACTTTAAATGGAAAAACTCCCTTATCCACTATCCTTCGGGGTAGATGTGTAAAAAGGAGGTGTGACAGTATTGTCTTCATATGATCTTGTTGGAATCGCCAGTTCAATCTCTTCACATAGAGGTGAAAACTCTTGCTATCATATTATCATGCTTATAATTATAGCAAGATACATTTGTGCACAAATTGCACTGAGGAAGTGGTACTTCAAAATCAAGAATTGTATATGCTTCAAGCAACTTAAATCCTTCATGGATTGTCATATAAGTTAATTCATATAAGCCATATAAATAGACTTTAGATGCATATCAAGTTTTCATGTCATGCTAGACATATAAGATATCGAAAACTGATTGCACATACCATTGACTTTATACTTTCAAGTGTTTGAACTACATGTTCAAAACTACATGTCTTTCATATGAAACCAATTCTATTTGAATTGTGTCTCTTCTATTTGGCCAATATTTTTGTGTCTGTATTCGACAAACTTAGAATTCTCATCTATACTTAGCGCTTTCATAGATGTCGTCGACGAATATTTTATATTGGTTCCAGCCTCCTTTTTTTCATAAAGACATAACATAGAAATCTCTTCATTCATATATTCATGTACTTGCATCTCTCATGAGATTTTATGAAGTGTTATGTCATGTGATCTTCTAGATCACTTGCCTCCTTTATTATGATCATTTTGATCATTTGCTCACCTTCTTTATCAAGAAGTTTATTTGAAACCAATTTGTCTATACGCTTTAAGCGTACCGTAGACTTTGTCCTTCTAGGACTTAATATGAGCATTTGCAATGAGAATATAGTTACTTTATTTGGGTCACCAAATGCGTCTGGCATGCTTTGCAATATATTGCAGATGAATTATCTTTTATGAATTTCAATTTCATATTATCTTATTCGAGGATCTAGATGTACAAATGATAATTCATTCCACGTAACTTTTTCTCAAATGTTTTCATCTCTCCCCATCATGTTAGAAAACTAACTTGCTTCATCATCTTTGTGTGTTATGGTATTAATCAAAATATACACCACACATCAATAATAATAAGATGGAATTATTTGGTTCCTGACCCCGAACCACTTGTGAAGGGAGAAAATAATATACTTTTATATATAACGTATATCAAACTGATATACAAAACTTTATTCTCATAAGCAACAGTTTAGCTATTAAGTGGAGGCACTCAATAAATCATTTTGCTAAACCAGCTGTGATGTAAACCAACTTATCAAGATAAACTATCTTGAACAAAAAAAATGTGGAAATTATGCTCTAAATCAAATTATTGAGCAAGTTACCTCGCAAACACCATGTTGCAGGTTAATAATAATCGCACATGTAACTATCTCATAGATCCATCTTATGTGGTATACATGGCAGATGAATGGGCCCATATTCACCTTTGATATTTCCAGCATTCATGCGATTCAATCCCAATTTTAGTTGGTATATTAATTAATGAGAACAAGCAATGTAAGAGAATTCATAAAGAACTTTCTAGTTCTTTAATATTTTACCCATGTAAATTCTCTTTTTTATTTTGCACATCATACTTAAATTATCATGGCTAAACCAATTATGTCCACTGAATAAATTATCAATATTGATAAAGTTCAGGATTACATCATGACGTGTGCAATTATCGATAAACTCCAAGTTTATTATGATATGAGTTTTTATATTAATAAACATCCACTTTATTGTGGTATTCTTTATTTGTGTAGTACAAACTGGAGAATAAAACGGATAACTTTTCACATAAAAATTACCCCGCTACAAGTTGTAGTAATAGAAGATATTAAATCTTTCCTTTATTTATAGTCTCAGTATGACCAACCGCTTTCGCGAATACTTTAGAAACTCAATTAAGTTTCTTTGAGACTTACTACAACACAATACCTTATTGATAATCAATTGTGTTTCTCCAAAATAGTATAATTGGCTCTTGCAGAGTTCTCAACTAATTTTATAGTACCACATATTCATCAACATCCATATGGTCAATATCTCTTTTAAAGAGAAAGTTATACCATTATGGTTATGGTCAAAGTTATATGCAAGATCTGTTTGTTGCATTACCGTTGTCTTTTAATAATCACAATGCCAAAATATGTTGGCGTACAATAGGTATGTGAACAATGACCATTTATGCCATAATAATGACATTATTTTCTTATATATCATCTCAAACCTCCTTCTAGAGGTGAGTGTGGTATATTCACTGTCACAAGCACGTTCATATTCTTCGAAGAATGAATATGTATTCATAAATCAGATGTTGTCACATTCACACCATGAATTGACCATAGTCATTTGTATGTGCTTTACGAAATCTTATGTCAAATCGATGACAGACATTAACTTCACAGAGTGAAGGCTTATTTTGAGAATCCTTATTGTTCTCATTACCACAATGATGACGATTATAATTTCGTCTATTGCCACGTCCACATCCATTGATACATTCATAGTAGTAATTTTGTCTTCTTTTAGACTTATCACATACTTATCACATTCTCTTAAGGGAATGAGAATGGAGCAAATTCAATTGGACGAGTTTTCAAATCTTGTGCTCATAATCATATATGAATTTGATCATGAAAAGACAAAGAAATTTTACCACTTCGAGTGGTTATAATTTCTTACAAACTCTATCAGAGTTATAATCAAACTTTGTTGTCTTTGCTTGTATATAAAATCAAATTATAGAATTCAAGAATTTAAAAGAAAAACATAAGGTAAAATACTTACCTTCAATCAAAAATTTATTCTTGAAGGAAGTTCATGGAACAATTGACAATCATTATGCTCAATCCTAAATCTTCTACTCAATTGGTTAGAGTCTCGTGCTGATAACGTGTTATGAAACAATAAAAGAAGAAGAAGAGTATTGCAGGGAAAAGTAGAGTGAGAGAATTCTTATTGATATGAGATGAATTACAATGGAATAGAACCCTCTATTTATAGGGAGAAGGTGACTTAGAGGGTGTTTGGCAAAGCTTATAAGCTGGTCAAACTGGCTTATAAGCACTTTTTGGCTTATCTACGCGTTTGGTAAAACTAAAAGTGCTTATAAGCCAAAAATAAGCCAAAAGCCATAAGTTGGTCTCCCCCAACTTATCAAATTTCAGCTTATAAGCACTTTAGGTTTGACCAAAATATTTACTATTTTATCCCTAAAATACTTCTTTTTAAAACAAAACTCTTCGTATATCCAGTTCTTCAGCTGCTTATTATTAATTTCACCACTTTTATTCAAACATGTAACTGCTTATTTTTTAAATCAGATTCAGCACTTAAAATATTTTTCAGCACCTAATGCTTATCAGCTACTCTAAATCAGCTAAGCCAAACGGGATCTTAACCACCAAACAATGAACCCTAAAGACATTCAACATAAATACAATTCTATTCATAAGAACATGTATATTGTTTTTAACTTTTTAATTGAAAGCATTTTGGCTTCGGGCGCAGATACCATCGAACAGGCTCTTTGGCATAAAAGTGTCAATGTCAGAATCTCCTTCCTTGAAAGCTTCCCTTTCTTTCCGTTCAACAAATCAGAGGATTGAACCTGTCTGCCTCTATAGTTCCTCAAGTAGGTGAAAGCAACATGAACTATCATCTTGACCAGTATATTTTCCTAGTTAGCCAAGATTTTTCTAAACACCAACTAAAAACAATACATTCCATGGTACAAAGGCTTGAAGAAAAATAAAAAATAAAGGGGGG